GCATCACTATAGCCATTAAGTAAAGATTCATGCTCACCATAACATAAGCACATGTGAGATGTACCTCTAAGATACCTGAAAATCCACTTAACTGCTGCCCAATGTTGCTTGCCAGGATTGGATAAAAATCTGCTCATTACCCCCACTACGTGAGCTATATCTGGCCTTGTGCATACCATAGCATACATTAGACTACCAACTGCAGAAGCATAGGGCACATTCTTCATGTAGTCTGCTTCCTCCTTGCTTGTTGGACACTACTCTGTGCTAAGTTTAAAATGGCCAGCAAGTGGAGTGCCCACAGGTTTTGCTTTGCTCATGTTGAACCTGTCAAGCACCTTTTCAATATATTTTTCTTGTGACAACCACAGCTTCTTGTTCTTTCTATCTTGAAAAATTTTCATTCCAAGAATTTGCTTTGCTGGACCCAAATCCTTCATAAAAAAGGACTTACTCAAGTCAGTCTTCAAGGCTGCAATTTTCTTTGTGTCATGACCAACAATCAACATGTCATCCACTGATGAAAGCAAGAAAATGTATATTTAAAGTGTGCTTAACCATTGACATTTATGGAATTATGGGTTTAAGAGTTATATTTTTCTACAAATAATTTCATAATTGTTCATTCTATTCATGTTGTGCAAAATTTTGGTGATTAAAGGTTTGATGACTAAATGGAGAAAATTAGAAGAAAAAGGACTTAAATGCAAGGAGCAAATTGCAAAGATCAGAAATATGATGATCAACTTGTGCGGAATCCAAGAGTCAGGGACCAAGACTGTTATTCTGCCATTAACCAAAATTGCACAAAAGGCCAAAAACCCGACACGGAGGATGCAGTTGACTCTCCACTCAAAGTGCCGGCACCTTGTAAAGAGTGTCGACCCCTTGCGCGATAATTCAGCCAAATCATATCTGTCCTAATTATTGTGATGTGGGCCCCACAGCCATTCTAATTAGGGTTTCTAGGATTCTATAAATACCCATCCAAGTTATTTTAGAAAGGAGTTCCAAGCCTGGAGAGGCTGCTACCAAACTTCTATTTTCTTCTTCAAGGCTAGAGAATTATGTCAAAGGGTAACTAAACTTTCAACAAGACTGGGGAGGATTTTGATTGAAGAGTTTGACTTGTTATTTTATTTTGATTCCTTCATAGATTTTATTGTTTAATTTTATTTTTGAGAGATTATTAATTATTTTCGAGAGATTATTAATTATTTTCAGACTTCAAAACCTTGAAAATTATATTTATCAAATTCCATATAAGATTAGTCATGCTCTTTTTATGTGTGATTTGTTAGAATATAATTGATTGGTAGATTTGTTTTGCGGGTTGATTCTTTACTGCAGTATTGTCGATTAGATATATTGTCGCTCTCGGATAACTCGTAAGGATAGATCCGTTTGTTTTTCATTGAAATTAATTTTTCTCAAAATAAATACATTAGTCATTATTATTGGTTTTCAAAGTTGAATCTTCCGATTGTTTGTTTGGGATATGAAACATGCAATTGAGTAATAAATAGGAATCAAAATTTATAACAGTTAAACAAATCAATTAAGTGAATCCTGAAGTCTTGTTCATCATAATATTATTTTCAATCTTTTACAATTATCATTTTTTTTATTTAAATATTTTTATTCTTAATTTTAGAATTCATCTTTTAATTTAATTTCTCATTGTGACCACTCTTTTTGTTGATTTAATGTAGCTTCCCTGTGGATTCGACACCTAAAGCTACGCTATAACAACCGCTTAGCCAAAGGGTATTAATTTTGAGGCGAGACATCAAAATTTGGCGCCGCTGCCGGGGAGGCGAGATTGACAATTAGAGTTTGAACATTCTTCACTTTTCTTTTATTTATTTTCTTTTCTTTTCTTTTCTTTAGTTTATTTTACTTTCTTGCTTTTATTTTATTTTCTTCATTCAAAAAAAAAAAAAAGTAGATTAGAGTGTATGAATAGACCGAGAGACGAAAAATGGAGATTTATTAGATTAGATCCACCACCTTTTCAAAAAGAAAAAGTCGAGTCTAATTCATCCTTTAATTCTGAAACCATGAGTCAAGACGGGGATCAACCTATTAGGACTTTGAAAGACTATTTGCACCCCACTAGAATAGCTACACCATCATGCATAATGTTTCCTCCTAATACACCACACTTTGAGTTCAAACCTGGAATGATTCAGCTTTTGCCTAGTTTCCATGGTTTAGAGAATGAAAATCCATATGTGCATGTTAGGGAGTTTGAGGAGGTAGTAGCTACTTTTCATAGTCGAGCTGACACGATAGACACAGTTAGGTTGAAATTCTTTCCCTTCTCCTTGAAAGACAAAGCTAAAATTTGGTTATATTCTTTGAGACCGAGATCTATAGGTACATGGGCAGAGATGACTCAAGCTTTCTTTAACAAGTACTTTCCGCACCATAAAACTAATAATTTAAAAGACAAATCTCCACATTTTCTCAAAAGGATAGTGAAACCTTATACCAAGCATGGGAGAGGTTTAAAGAATTACAAAACTTGTGTCCACATCATGGGTATGAAACTTGGAGGTTGGTTAGTTATTTCTATGAGGGTTTAACTAGTAGGGAGCGTCAATTCATAGAGATGATGTGTAATGGGGAATTTTTGCATAAGGACCCAGAAGAAGCCATAGATTATTTAAATGAGTTAGCTGAAAAAGCTCACACTTGGACAGGACCTAGTGCCACTGAAATGAAAAATAATAGAGTCACCCACACAGTTGCAAGGGTAGAAGCTCAGGCTCCATGTTTTGTTTGTGGGGGATTGGATCATTTAGCTAAAGATTGCCTAACCTATGGTGAGATGAGAGGGGTTTATGAAGAACAATGTAATGCATTAGGAATGGGTAGGGAACCTTTTTCACCCTATTCAGAGACATACAATCCTAGTTGGAGGAACCATCCCAATTTTAGTTTGAAGGCTAATCAAAACCATCCCACATCATCTAGCAATACTTGGAATAGTGAAACTCAAACACTCAAGTCTTACCCTACACCTCAATACAATGCACGACCAGATAGAAATCCTTTAGAGGAAACACTTAAGGCATTTATGGAGGCACAGACTAAGACTAACCAAAAGTTTGATTCTATTCTTACACAGGTGGTTGAAGAAAACAAGGATATCAAGAGTCAACTAACTAAGTTGACCAATGCTCTTACTATCCAAGAACGAGGTAAGATTCCATCTCAACCTCAAGCTAATCCTAAAATTTTACATTTGGTGCAGGAATCTACCTCTAATTCGGAGAACATTCAAGGGGTCAATGCGATCACTACTCGTACTGGTAAGGTTATAGAGCCGTTGCAAAAATCACCTAAATTGAAGGATGCTACTCCAAGTAGCCGTGAAGAACCTGAGAAGGAGGTCCCAATTCGAGTTCCTTTCCCTCAAGCCCTTAAATCTAGAAAGATTTCAGACAACCAAGGTGGGATTTTGGAAAATTTGAAACAAGTTAAGATTAATCTACCTTTGTTTCATGTGATTAAACAGGTACCAACTTATGCTAAAGTGATCAAGGATCTATGCACCATAAAAAGGAAACACCATGTCAAGAAAACTGCATTCTTGGCAGAACAGGTACGTGCGGTAATTGAGCAAAAAACACCGCCAAAGTACAAAGATCCAGGGTGCCCAATAATTGCTTGCCAAATTGGGTCACAAGAGTTCGGTCAAGCTCTTTTGGATTTAGGAGCAAGTGTGAATTTAATGCCTTATTCAGTTTATTTGCAACTAGGTCTTGGAGAGATTGAAGAGTTTTAATGGTCCAATGCCCAGAATCAAACCAATCAGCAACACAATCAAACACCCAAGAACAGAATAAGCAAACAAAGTAAAATAAAGAGGACACCAGAATTTTTACGTGGAAAACCCAAATGGAAAAAACCACGGGGCACTTACCCAGATGAAAAATCAATCCACTACTGAAAATGGATTACAATTTTTGGATCATAATCCGAATATCTCAAAGTTCTAACACCAACAAGGGAGATTTTCTCTCAACCTCACTCTGTTTTTTTTTTTTCTGCACTGCTTTCCCTCTCTGTTTTTCACGCTCTCACCAATCTGCACTCTTTTCAAATTTTAAACAAGAGATTAAATAGGGAGCTTTTGGATACAAGAATAGTGTAACACTATCCTATCAGGGACTAGCATGTCAGCATATCCAAAGTTGGAGGAGTTCACTTTGCTTTTCCCATTTCTTCAACAATTGGAAATGTCCGTGTCGAGATCCACTGTTCATCTTCAAAACCAAACTTCCCATGTTTTCTGCCATTCACCGTGCACTCATGGTGCACCTACATTGTTGAGCCACCCAACTTGGGAGGGCTAGCTCAACACTTTCTTGTCCAAGAACCTGATTTGAACCCAGAAATTTCCCCCACCCCTCTGCAGTTTCCAGATCTGCTCTGCTTGTCCATCCGTTGCTGCTGCTAGGCCCGAAATTCTAGGCATTTTTCTGGTAAGAAACAGCCCCTAAATCCTCTTTTCTCACTTGAATTACCTTGGGTTTACCTTAATTGCTCTTATTTCCTTCAATTTTGGGTAGACCCGTGAGCTTCCCTGCAGCTTCGGTTTCTACAGCTGGAGAATTATGGTATGTGGTAGCTTCTTTAAGTGCAAGTTTTAGCCATTTAATTGCTGCCCTATTGTGTGTCCGAATTTTGCTAGAAAAATGGGGAAGAATTTGATAGCTTTAGGACCATAATTTAGCTTAATTGAAGTGGGATTTATGTGATTGAGTGTTAATTGACTGCTATGTGATTTTTGGAGAAAATCCCGTGAATTAGTTAGTGTTTTGGCCAATTTGTGAAAGTAGAGTTACTATTCACGTCGTGTTTACTGTTCACGGGAACTGTTCACGTCACTGTTCACGGGTACTGTTCACACACCGAGGGTCAACAATTATCGGAGATTTAAATGATTAGTTTGTGATATAAGAACGATTTTGAAGATATTTGATCATGTGGAGATTTATGGAAATAGAATTGTGATTAGGAATGATCCTAATGATGATTTCAGTGTGAATTTGTGATAGTACGGTATTGATTCTCGGATATTTTGATTAGGTTCCCGATCGTTCTGTCAATTAGCACTGAGATTGAGTGTTCGGTTTTGTGCGAGTGAGGTAAGTAAATTTATGGTAATGCCCGTACTGTTTTTAAAAGCATGTTTTGATTTGTTTAGAAGTGGTGGCGGGACTAAACCCATTTTACACAAGTATGACTAATTTGAAGTGGAATTTTTATGCTTTTCATTAAATTGAGCATGTCTACTTGGAATTTAATTGATTGTCCTGATGATCTGAAAGTGATTGGTGAATTATGTTTTTCTGTTAAATTCAGCCTGTTTTGTCTCCGATGTGGTCATGTTTCTGTAATCCTGCTAGTGGGGGTTAAACGCTAGCACATGTCGACACATGTCGATATGTTAGTGATAGAACCAGTTCGTACAAGTGACCCTGTTAGTGGGGATTATACACTAGAAAATCATGTGCCTTCCAGTGGGAGGTTTATAACACTGGCTGTGACCTATAGAGGAGACGTCTATTTTGTTCCCGTACTATATCCGTTTTTCGTGATTGCATTTGTTGGCATGCTATAAGTTTAATAAGGGGCACTCCATATTTACTTACTGAGTTTATCTCATAGTTTTCCTTGTCCACCATTTCAGGAAATGAAACCGAGGATGGGGAAACCACGGGAAGTGACGAGTTAGATGGCTAGCCATTTCGAGATTGATATAGATTTTAGAAATAAATCATGATCTTGTAAACCAGAGTGTATTTGGAGATTCTATGATATTAGAGTAAATTTTAAGGATTTTTATCGACAGATTTAGTGGTATCAGATGTGAATTGGTTAAGCTCCGAGCCTTGTGCATCTGTGGGACCCGTCTCACGAATGCACGGCGTCTGCCACGTCCCCGGATTTGGGTTCTGGGGCGTGACAATAAGATTCTAATTGTGAGTATATTTGTTCTTCTTTATTCTTGTTCTTTCTCATTTCCTCGGATTTCTTTCTAATTTCCTTGATCTTTATTGCTAAACCCGATACTAAAATTTTCTAAATCTCTTTTTTCACTTATTACTAAGGTTTCGTTTCAAATCTAATATCAAAATTTTAGATTCCGATAAATTTTTATGTTTTATCTAAAAAATTTTTGAATTAGCAATAAATGATTTAAATATATATATATCGGTAAAGTGGCCATTAGTCTTACCTCCCAAAAAAATTTGGAATCCCAACCCAAAATGGCGTCGTTCTCTTATTCCCAGCCCCTCCCTTTTGCCTTTGCCTCTTCTGCAATCATCTCCATCTCTATCTCCGATTCCTTCTCCATCCCCTCTCATCTCCATCGACTCCTCCGTATCCTCTGATTCCACTGCAATTCATCTTCTCCGTCGATTGTAACCCCTGCTTTTTTTCACTTCTTCTGCAATCATCTCCATCTCTATCTCCATCGGTTCCTTTAATTCCTCCAATTTTTCAGATGGACTCCCTCATACCTAACAATGGGAACCAAAGATGAAATCCCTCTTGCAACTTGACAATCTCCTTTCTCAAATAGTCTTCTTCCAGTAAAAGAAAAAAAAACTTTCCTCTTCTCCACCGTCAACACCACACTCAAGCAAGCAAAAATCCCCCTTTCTCCTCCTCAAAGTCTCGCTCTACTACTCTCAAAAACCAGACGGAGACTCCCAAATCAAACTCGAAAATCAACCAAAGACCCCCTCTTTGATCTGATTTTTTCCTATATATATACCCAAATAAAAAAATAAAATAAAAACTTCTTCCATCAATCACTGATCTTTGCAGCAAAAGTAGAGGACGAAGATGATGTCGATTTTGTCTGGTATGGGCTGTAGATGCAGGAGTGTAGAGGCGTAGGATTGGGGGCGCAGAGTGCAGGAGGCGCAGCAGGGTGCAGCCCCAGGTGCAGCAAGGCGCAGCCTCGGGTGCAGCAGGGTGCAACCCAAGTGTAGCAAGGCGCAGGCTCAGGTGCAGTAGGGCGTAGGCTCGGGTGCAGCAAGCGAGGGGGCGCAGCAGGGCTTGATCGCCTTTGATGGCTGCTGGCTGAAATGAAGGCTCGGGAGATGAGAGAGAACAGGCCCAAAGTCAAGGTGAGGAAGAAGACTTTGGCGGGGTAATGGAGATGATTGCAGAAGAGGCAAAGGGGAGGGGCTGGATTTAAGAGAACGATGTCGTTTTTTGTTGGGACTCCAAATTTTGTTGGGACTCCAAAATTTGTTGGGAGGTAAGACTGATGGCCACTTTACCGTATATATATATATATATATATATATATAAACTATCTGTAGCAATTAAAGGGGATGAAAGAACCGCAGTACAACAGCACCCACGTGATTGAGTTTTGGTGCTGGGTGTTGCTGCGCGATGATGCGTGGTGATGACGTCATTGCTTCATTAGTTTGAGATTTGTCAACAGTGTCAATACCTCTAATACTGGTAACAGATCAAGTGTTGAAACCTAATTTATTAAAATACTATGAATAGTAGTTGATGGGGCCGGTGGTGCTACAATATTACTGTGTACCGTCACTACCGTGTGGTGTATTTACATGGTGATGTATGACAGATTTAAGGGTTGACATAGTGGTGCCAACACCCTTAATTTTAGTCAATAAATAGGTGCAAGCACCTTTATAAAAAATTTAATGTAAAGTTTATAAAACTAGATATTATTAAGTTAAATTAGGATTAGTAATTCTGGATTGTTTCTTATTAATATTCAATGTAAATTTTAAGTTCTTGATTATTTGCACATCTCAAATTTAAGATCTCTATTTTTTAGAGAAGTGAATTTATGATTTTGCCTTTAATTTTAAATATAATTTTTATCGATTTTGATATGGTGGTAGGATTAATAATCTATTTTCGTTTAATTACCATAACCAAATCTCATTTTATTTTAAATTGAAATTTATTTGGTTAAGCAAACCTATTTATAGAAAGTTTTTAATACATGCTACTTGATTCTTGTGATATATGTTTTTTCTTGAAATAAGTATGTCTACTTAAGTTGTACTTATTAGCGTATTTTAGTTTTCAATATAGTCATGTTCTATTTGTACCTGCCAATGAGAGGTTTATAAACGTTAGCACATATCGACATGTTACTTATGGTCGATTAATTCTTTTTATACTTGTTATCCTACATGTGGGATTGTGCACTAGCAAATCTTGTGCTCGTCAGTGGGAGGTTTATAAACATTGACCATGACTTATAGATGAGACGTCTATTTTATTTCCCATACTTATATCGGTTTTTCTTGATACTTGATTTATACTTATCAGCATG